TTAGGGTTTAGGGTTTAGGTATGCAGGGTTTATTTGCAGGGTCTAGGAGTTTCAGCAAAGCCGTGTATTGTAGGTACTTGTGCGCTTTAGGGCTCTAGCAACGTGTTCCAGGCCACCTCGTTTGTCAGTGTTTGTTTCGAGCTTGCGGAGGATTTCGTTTGCGGAGGATTTCGTACAGGCCACTTTTTGCTCCTGATTTGAGGCAGGTGAGAAGGTGGTAGCTGGGTAGGCATGAGTTTTGACGGATGTTACCCTAAGCAATAAGCCCGAAACCCTACCACGCAGTGAACGTGTTTAAAGTTGGATAAGGGTTCCACACAGCTCTATATGTGGCTACATCGAATATACTGTGGCCGTTGCAACCCTTTCAGAGCCAAAGTAGGTTTTACAAACCCTAACCCCGAAACCCCCAACCCCTAAACCCGTAGACCTTAAACCCCCATACATACACCCTAAAGCCCCAAACCCCTAAACCCCGATGCCATTAAACCCCCCCATACATAGAACCTGCAAAGCAGAGCCACAGGAGGCTCGCACTCGCTTGGACGAAAAAGGCGGAGCCAAAAGCAACAAAAGCCAGCAGCTGGGTTTAGGGTTTAGGGTTTAGGATTTCCTAAACCCTAAACCCTGAACCCTAAACCCTAAACCCGCAGCATGACGGCGCCGGCAGAAGCCACCAGCGGAAGCGCGACGAGGCAGCGATGTCGTCCTGGGCCAAGGCCAAGGTCAGGCCAGCTGCTGCAGAGTGGAATCCGGGTCCCGCTGCCGCTCCACCCGCCGGTTTAGGTTTTAGGGTTTAGGGTTTAGGGTCTAGGGTCAGTCTAGGGTCTAGAGTCTAGGGTTTAGGGTTTAGGGTTTAGTCTTCATCCCCGCGTGCTTGGAGGTTCATGGGTAGTTATAAATGGCGCTACAAGTAGGGCAACTGTAGTTTTAACCCAAATTAGGGGACTTAGAACCCCACCTTTTACTACCCATGAACCTCCAAGTGCACCAGAAGCTGATCCGAATCTGCATGAAACAGCGCAGGCCCTGGCTGCTTGCCTGGGTAGAGCCATACTTCGAGGTTCATGGGTAGGTATAAGTGGGGTGAAAAGTCCCCTAATATGGGTTATAACTATAGTTACCATACTTATATATAACTACCCATGAACCTCCAAGTACCCTGAGCGTACATGTGTGGGACAAAGTAAAGCCAGACAAACATTTCACGGCCCCAGTTTAGGGGTTTAGGCTTTAGGGGCCGTCTGAACAAACTGACGGCAAGCACGGAGGACAACGGTGTGCTTGATCCGCTGGCATGTTGAAGTGGCACGACAGCCACCCGATTCTTTACCCGTGGTATTCGGCGGTTGCTTAAAACAGCTATCATGTGGTCCAGCATTAACCGGTGCAAGCAGCGAGCGCGGTGAGAAGCACCCATCAACAACGGCAAGGCCTGAACCCATCGCTTCCTCACACATGCAGCTCGGGTTGGGGTGAGGGTTCAGGGTTCGGGATTTAGGGGGTTGGGGGTACGTGGTTTAGGGATCTTACAGTCTAGGACATTTTCAGGTGGGTAGTTCCCGTCATAAAAGCCTTATAGAAGCCAACCCTAAACCCCAAACCCCAAAGCCCAAACCCTAAACCCTAAAGCCCTATAAACCCTAAACTCCCCACCTGTAGTTTCCTTTGATACAGGGCCTAGGGTTTAGGCCGGCTTCGATGGCGTACAGGCTATAGTTTTTGGGCTTAAGGCTCAGGGGTTTTCTAGACACCGAAACCCTTCAGAGGCCAGAATCAGGGTTTAGAGTTGAGGGTTTAGATTAGAGTTTAGGGTTTAGGGTAGCCCAAACCCTACAAAATAGTAGGTTAGGACCCCTTAATGAGAAAGTCTAACCCTTAAGACAGCAGGTTTTCGGATCCGCAGCTGTCACGGTGAGACGTTAGAATAAGAGTTGAGGGTCTCGCCCAAAGCGTGAGGGCTTATCGGTTCGGATAACAGCTTCGTGTTGTTGTAGTAGGATGCCCGAAATCCTGGGGTTCATAGGTTTAGGGTCCTAAACCCCCGGCTCAAGCCGAATTCAATCCTAAAGCCAGTACTAGGTAGTATTATTAGGGGTACCCCTTAAAGTGCACCCCTTCTGAACCTACTTTTGGCTCTCTTTATTGAGAGGGTCTATATTTTCAAGGGTCCCCCTAATCCTAGCTCCCAAGTAGCCGAGCTGAGACACGAACAGCTAGAAGCCAAGAGCCAGGTGTCCTGGTCGCTGACGCAGCATGAGAGCGATAATCCTTGGTGCAACTACCTCATGTCGCGCTATGGTGCCCCGACGGCACGCAGGTTCGGAATAATTGTCTAGGACATTTTCAGGTTGGTAGTTACCGTTATAGGAGCCTTATAGAAGGTCTATATACCTTATGGAAGCCTTAAAGCAGCCCTATATACCCTAAACTCCCCACCTGTAGCTTCCTTTAAAATTGGTATATAGCAGTATCCCCTCTAGCTTCTGAGGCTATACTGGGGCCTTGCGGAGTCGAGTTCCTGTCAAGCTGGCCTTTCATGCAGCTTCTTGCCGGTCACGGTATAGGGTTTAGGGGTTAGGGTTTAGAGTTTAGGGTTTAGGGTTTAGGGTTTAGGGTTTAGGGTTTCGGTTTAGGGTTTAGTGTTTAGGGTTTAGTCACGCCTGACTCCTTCGCCACTGAGGAGTCGACAGGGCATCGAACGATGCTGCACCCACTTGATCACGCCATGGTGGCAGGGATTCTCTTCCCATAGGCCCTAAAGTAGTCCTTTTTGGGGTTCATATATAGAATCCTTTAAGGTTACCTCGAAAAAGAACTACTATGGGGCCTATGGGTTTAGCCACTTTAGCCCACCAGCGAGGCTGACGATACACGCACACCCTGAGATGGTTGGGTGTTTCTACGCATCAGCCCACCATGCGCTCGCGGTGCGCATACAGCAGCCTTTTGCGGGCCCGCCGTTCTCAGTCAATGCGCTGGCAGCAACATTGACACAGGCCCTGGACACTGAGCTGCTCAACCTACTCCCGATTGAGAGTGCTGCACTGCTGCACAGGTGCTAAGGGGTGCTGGCCCGCTACGAGCCTTCTTCTGGCTAGCGACGTAGCCGAGAACGGCCACGGATAAAGTCGAAAATCGGCGGTGGGCACTCTTGAGCGATCGGTCCCGCAACACCTATTACGATGTTCGAACTCATTCGGGTTCGCGTCCCTAGATTCAACCTTACCCCAAGCCCTAAACGTCGAACCTTCAGCCCCTAACTCCTAAACCCTCATCCCCTGAACTTTACCTTTGCTTAGACCATCTTCAACCCAAATCCCTTCATCCTCAATGTGCTTTTCTTGGGCCCAAAAGCCCCGCTTCTCTCATCCCAAGTTTGAGTAGTAGAGTAGGTAACCTTCAGTATATTTTGGGGCACTGCAATCCCTTCATACGACCAAAGGTTAACCTCTAGTTCCTGTAGACTGGCCATGCAACCTTTGACCTCAGGGAAGACCTGTGTCAGACAACTTCTGGTCTTGGGGCCTTACTACTATACGGGTCTGGGAAATTGGGGGCATAGTTCGTAATCGTCTTCCTTAGGGTGCTCTCTTTCATGTATGGTATACGAGACCGGCAGACCCGATTCTATGACTAACGCCCCAAGACTCTCTCCAGGATCTTATGGGTGTATATCAGACTACCAGGTGTTCTTCTTGATCCCACTTGCTTAAGAGGGATCCGGAGTGCCAGACCTTCAAAGCGAAGTGGCGAAACACGTATTTACATGGTTTCTAATTGTGTTTACACATATGTACGTATATATATATATATATATATGTGTGTGTGTGTATATATATATATATATGTTTATCGGGTCAAGTAGAGGGTAGATGGCGGGTCCCGGCATGTCTTGATGTTTGGGTCTTCAACTTTGCACAGTGCTTGTGCACTCCACTTCTCCGCCAATTAAGCCTCTCTGGTGAGAAAGAAGCGACATCCTGAACAGTAGCTTGCCGTCTGGCGATTGAATTATCGGTGCTTGCTTTCGCAACCCCAAACCCTAAACCCTCAATTGTCCTAAACCACGAAAACCCTCAACCCTACACCCCATTTTTGAACATGCGGGAGCTGGGTTGGAAAACCAAGTTTGCGCACCGCTACCGGCACGAAATCATCGCTGACTCACTGAGATCGACCACATTTGTCTGGAAGGTGGAGGAGGCCCCAACGATGTACCGCGAACGGATCTTGTTCGTTCTTGATCGAGACACGGACTGTGCCACCAGGATCTCATCGGGCGTATCCTTGGAATGTGACCCGGTGAAGTCAAGCCTTACCTTGGGTCCAGCACCTACAAGAATGACATTGCCTGCCACGGTATGTACCAGGACAAGTCCGTCCAGGTTGAGATCAGGGTGAATGGGCGATAGAAGCTGAATTGGTGTCGCCACCACTGGAGACATTGGCAGGGCAAGTCAGAGCAGCATGTGGTCACAGGTGTGAGCGTGTACAAGCCCAAACAATCACCAATATTATTCCTTGGGCCCATTTATTGAAACTATATTAGAACATGCCTCAAAACCCTGCTAGCCGATTATAACCCTGTCCGGTCTTTGACTCGCTGAGAGAGCTCGAAGGCAAGGGCCCCCAGCCAGAAAGCCCGAAACCCTAAAGCGGGAGACTGTATCCTAGGGTCATAGGGTTATGTAGGGTTTAGGGTTTAGAGTTATTGGGTTTAGGGTTTTAGGGCTTAGGGTTAGGCCTTAGGGCCCTCAACCCTAAAGCTAAATTCAGCGTTAAACCCTTGAGCATAAAATTAAGTCCTAGATCTCAAAAGCCCTTGGCAAACTGTAGGCCCTACAAACCCCTCAATAGAAACAGCCTACCAAATACCGCCCTAAACCCTAAACCTTACTAAACCCTAAACCCATTAAACCCTCACTAAAACCTAAACCCTAACCCTTTACCAAAAGCCCAAACCCTAAACCCTAAACCCCCCCGTTTTGGGGCTCAGGTTTCGGCTACTCCGTAACCGGCGTGGCAGCCTCACTGGCGCTTCCAAGGCTTCGGCCTCCACGGCATCACTCTTAGGGTTTAGGGTTTAGGGTTTAGGGTTCAGGGTTTAGGGCTTAGGGTTCAGGGTTTAGGGTTTAGGGTTCAGGGTTTAGGGTTTAGGGTTCAGGGTTTAGGGTATCTGTCCATAGTATCACAGGTTTCGGTGTTACTTATCCTTAGGGCTCCATTATAAAGTCTATACTGATTGTTCCTCACATCTTTGTGTGGGGTTCTTACTTTTTTGCTTGGCGCCCGCCCTCGTCGCCCGCATCTCACGTCCGCCAGCGCCGTCTCGTCCGTGTCCTCCTCGTGTCCTGCATGCGCTTCCCCCCGCCGCAATCACGTCTCACCCATTCACTCTTCTCGCTTACCTTTCGCTCACTTGCTCTCACTCCCTCTCTTACCCTTTCACTAAAATTGCATGTGGGGATATCCGGTCCTTTAATTGTGGTTTGTTTTGCATGCCATTCCTGTGGTCTAGTGCCATTCCTTTGGTCTGGCATACATGGTACCAAAATATCATCTGATCTTTGTTTCATCATCATCATCATCAACAATATCATCTTGTTTCATTCTCAACCATGGGTGCGAGCAAACTTTGAGAAAGTGTGATTCAGCGTCTTGCCGTCACGGCGCTTTGCTGGTCTCGATTGAGGCAGTCCTCGATGAAGGGGATGCATTAAAACTTCTTTCTTGAGGGGGGTATACTCTCCCTCTCTCTCCTTCACCTCTTTGAGCTCTAAGCCATCCGCAATCCATCCGCAATAACGGGCACCTGTAACCATGCGAAATGATAGCATGTTCTATACAGGTCTTTTAAAACCCGAGTCTAGTACGCAAGAACTATTGCAAATTATTGCCTTCCTAGTGGGGACGTGTCAACTTTTGCCAACCTGATGCTTTGCAGCTTAAAGCCTTTTTATGCAGCTCGAAGCCTTTAGTAAAAAACAAAACGACCCGGACCTCAAGTTCAGTGCTAAGATGTGAACTTGGTTTTCTTCGGCCTCTGCGCATACAAGCACGACAGTAGTTTGCAATCATTTCGACCACGGAGTTTTGATTTTGTACATATATCATCGATGCCCTGTGAACGCGCTTGCTGTCGTTTTGGTTGATCTTCTGTTGTGTTGAAAAACTATAAAACCACCATGAGACTTTGAACCCACTTTGTACAGGTAAAGAGTCGCACAGCATCCACGCCTCAAGCCAAGCCGCGTAGCCGTGGATTCTATCACGTGATCAAACCGATAATCCTGTCGAAGTTCGTGAAGTCACCAACGGTGATGCTAGCAGCCATTAAGTGGATTTGCGAGCAGTTGAACGGGGCATGCGCGCAATTTTCGTTTTTCTGGTTGGGGGCTTCTGCAATCTCGACACGGGCATCCCAAGTTTGGATCATCCGTGGGCACGCCTTGAGAGATTGAAAAGCCAGTCGCAGGCTACAAGGCCACCGGCCTCACCGGCTCGGAAGTTCGCAACGACAAGTGTATCCTTCAACGAGAGAATCGCCACAAGATGTCTCTGCGCCAAACTGCTGTGCCTCAGTGCCTCTGCACTTTCTGCTGCGCTGCCAGAAGATGACCATAGCCCTGCCAGAAAGCCAGCTGCCGTTGCCTCTCATCTGCCTAAAAGCACCGCCACTTGAGCAAGCATGGAGTCCCACAGCTCGGGAAGCAGGCTGGATGCCGGGGCGTGCACCCACCGGCGCATGCAGTCCATGTAGCCAGCATCGACCTGGCACAGGCAAGATACCAGTCATGCATGAACTCGTACATTTCAGCGTGTCTGATCCATGGCAACGAGGCAATGTCAGAGCACAAATAGACAATTAAACGTGACACGTAACACAAGAGCGCTGAACAAATCGTGGCCTTTCTTTCTACTTGGTATCATTCTTTTTCCGGCGCGGTCAAGCGCAGTGCAGGAAAGGCTTCTCCTTAGGAGGCTGTGAGATTCTACGCGCAGAATTTGTAAGGGCCACCGCATGCTTCGCACACGTGCAGGGCATCCAACGATATGTTGAAAGCAGCTAGCTTCCGCCGCATCGCTCTGTGGAGCACAAGGCAACGGACGAATCACAGAACTCTGTGCTGTCCCGAGAAGTCAGGACGGATGCGTTATCGATGTTGGCGACATTCAGTGATAGACCGCAGACGAAAACACTATGAGAGGAAGACCTGCTGATTGGCAGGGATTTTTCAGGCATTTTGAGCAGATGCAGGCACACTGACGCCTGCCCCTGCGCCATCCTGCGCCTGTACAACAGGCTCTCGGCCCGATGGCTCGGTGCCTACCTGGAAATCGGCATGGGTGGCCGACCGCGTGTTCGCATTTCTCGAAGGATCCTCGGCTGAGAAGCGGTGCACTCGCAACGCGTTGGAAATCACTGCATTCCATCGTGCTCCAAGCGTCTGAAGCTTGAGCTGCCCGAGGTCTCTCACTGTGGCTGGGTTGGAGCCTCGCAAAGCGATCGTCTCTTCGAGGAACTCGGTAATGCTCATCTCCGCTTCTCCTGCAAACACCATGTCCTTGGCGGCAGAACAAGTTTGAGGAATGTGGATGGAGTCCGATGGTGATCTTTGGACAAGCAGCCGGATCCCGGAGAATGGCCACGACATCGATGCCCGACTCCAGAAAGATGCCGACGAGGTCCGGACGATTCACCAAACCTGCAAATTCGCCCCTTGCGATGACGTCCTCCTTCTTCCTCGGTCCAAGTCGTTCCAGCGCCTCCCCGGGGCAGCGCGTTCGGACGGCACCCGCCTGACCGTCCTGTGCCCTATCCTGGCCTCCTGCAGAGCTTCGAAGATGGCGTTTCGCGTAGAGGCCTCCTGCTCTGCTGCAGCCACGACACCGACCACCTCAACCAGCACCCCAACAATCAGGTTCATGACCTTAGAAAGTGCGGAGGAGCAGGGCGAGACGCAGCGCAGCATAAGGCATGGGCAGTCAGAGGTGCAAGAACAACAAACACCAGGAGAGATAGACCTAAGCAAGCAAGGTCCCTCCGGCACTCGCCAAGTATACAAAGCTGAGGCGATGTTGAGGTGCAAACCATAGAGAAAATTTTCCTGAAGCAGAACACTGCTGGCTCGTCAAAGCTAGAGCCGACTGTGCCATGCATGCTGCGCCTGAAAGCACAAGCGGGCCAAATCGGGAAGACCCTGAAAGAAGCAGGCATGGAACAGCAGGGAGAACCTCGGAATTTGGCAACTCCACGCAGAGCACCAGGCAGGCCAAAAAAGTCTCAAAGCATCCGTGCTTCTGAGAGCAAAACATTCCATCGACAAGAGTCGGGAAGTAGGCCGTGCCCAGAGGCGTGCCTTCTGAGAGTTGCGTCAAGGCAATCGAGAAGATGTAGATGACAGACCTAGGATCTCCGGTTTCGCACCACACACCCGAGCACATGCAAGCAGAGAGGAACTTGGCCCGGGACAGAAGAATGAGGCACGTGAAGAACCTGATACAGTTCGCTGCCATCACTGACTGATCAATGACACCGACACATAAATCGAACACGTCCGGCTGTTGTTCGTTCGTTCGTGGCTTGGTATCTTTCGAAATTCGAGATCAAGAGCCTGAGATACAACTTGTATTCGCGAAGAATCAATCTTCTCAAAGAAGAGTTCTGAAAGACTTGCTTCATCCTGAACGCCCTTGAGTGATACGATCACCCAAAACTTATATCCGCTGTCACCTCGTCCCAACACGATGCGACTCCTGTTGGCGCTCGCTTCATCCTCTGCTCTTCACCATCAGCTGTGATACACAGAGATCTCCAGGTTTCGCTAAGATGACCGGCCAACGTGGGTGCCGCCGTCTGCATTCAAACCCAGAACAGTGGGCTTTGGAAGTCGTTCAGGGCAGAATGCATCGCGTCTGCGTGGAAATTTGCGGCTCTGTCCTCATTTGTTTTCAGTTGCCGCAAGTTTCACAAAGTCCCCGACACGGAGCGGGAGGCGACTCCGATGCCCTTCAACAGGATCATGACCTGGCATCTGGATGGCAATCTTCTTCATTAACACAGATTCGCGGCGTCAGTGAGCCTCCGGCACCTGGCAGTACATACCCATGAATGCTGAGTGCAAGAGAAGCGGACATCTGGTCACTGAGGGTTGAATAGCTTGCACCTGTCGGAGAAGCCGCGCGATCCGCGCCACACGGGTAAGCCGTGACAGCTTCAGAAGGCGAAGAACAGATGAGTCAAACGCCTGCACAGGGCTCCAGATATCAGGAGAGTGTACCGGTACCGCAGATTCCCTGCAGGCTTCTACCCCGGCATCAAGCTCAGAAGACATCAGGCTCACCCTTGGCGATCTTGCCCCCTGCTGTCATCCTTGAAAGGCTTTTCAAAACTTGCAGACTGTCTGACAAACCCGAACTGCAAATCCGTTTTCACCCTTGCGCTCGCAAGCGTCAAAATGCTTCCGCGATGACACCTAAGCGGACCTACACGCATAGTCTCCACATCTTAACCGACATTATGTCTGAAAGATTCTGAAAGCCCTCGTCGCGGAATAGTGGCAGCGGCAGAAGCAGCAGCAGCAGCAGCAGCAGCAGCAGCAGCAGCAGCAGGAGAAAGAGGAGTTGTTGTTGTTGTTGTTGCTGTTGATGTTGCTGGTGCTGATGTTGTTGACGATGATGATGGTGATGATGGTGATGATAATGATGATGGTGATGATGATGATGATGATGATCATGATGATAATGAGTGGTGCTGGTGCTGGTGCTGGTGCTGGTGCTGCTGCTGCTGCTGCTGCTGCTGCTGCTGCTGCTGCTGCTGCTGCTGGTGCTGGTGCTGGTGCTGGTGCTGGGGCCGGGGCCGGTGCTGGTGCTGGTGCTGGTGCTGGTGCTGTTGCTGTTGCTGTTGCTTTTGCTGTTGCTGTTGCTGTTGCTGTTGCTGTTGCTGTTGCTGTTGTTTGTGTTGTTGTTGCAGGTGGTGGCGTTGGCCCTGGCATTGACCGTGATGGTGGTTTGCTAGCTGTTGTCGTTGCGGGGCTGATGACGGTGGTGATGTTGATGATGCTGCGGATGATACTGACAATAATAGTGATGTTGATGGTGTTGTTTGATGGCGTTGACGAGTACGGAGGTGGCATGGGCTGTAACGTTGATGAAGACAACTATTCCATGCGTGGCTAACTGCAAACATGTTCATCTTTTTCGCCAGTGTTTCAGTTTCTATGAGACTATGACTTGCAGCAATGTGTGCGCCAGCCTTGTGCATGTGATATGTTGTGGATAGCGCTGCTACTGCTGTTGTTCTGTGCCAGACGGAGGTGTAGCTTGGATCCAGGGTCTTCGAGTTCCTAAACTTGGGGCTTCGTGGCAGGACTTCGCCGACTTCACCCCAAGCCGGCTGTTCATCTACTACAACGAGCGCTTGGTTGAGGGCAGCGTGAACCAGGATGCTGGGGCCATGATCCGCGACGGCATCAAGACGATGTCCAAGGTGGGCGTCTGCCCTGAGAGCGTCTGGAAGTACGACGACGGCCCGTCCTTCTTCAAGCAGGAGCCCAACCAGCAGGCCTACGAGATCGCGCAGAAGTGCAGGGTCATGGGCTATGCCCGCGTCGCACAGGACCTGAGCCAGATGAAGATGTGCATCAAGAGCGGCTACCCCTTCGTCCTCGGCTTTGCCGTCCTGTCAAGCTTCCAGACAGCGGAGGTTGCCAGGACCGGCAAAATGGTGATGCCGCAGGCGAACGACCAGCAGATGGGCGGCCATGCCGTGTGCGCCGTCGGGTATGATGACTTCCAGCAGTGCTTCATCGTCCGCAACTCCTGGGGAGAGGCGTAGCCCAGCCGAGTTCAGTTGGCCATTTCCGGTTTTTCAAGATTTCAGGCCAGAGCACAGTAACTCTTTGCTCCTCCTGTGTTGGCCCCCGCAAATCCTAAGGTGGGGAGACAAGGGCTATTTCTACATGCCCTACGAGTACATCTGCCACCCGTCTCTCGCCTCCGATTTCTGGGCCATCAACTGGGTGGAGGGCTTCAAGAATGCTTCGGCGAAGCCGATCAAGAAGTGAGCACATGAACTTCCATTGGTACGCCCTTAAATTTGGCATCCCTCCCGGCAATGAGCTGCGCCTTGGCTTTATGGCAGTCTCAGTCTTAGGTTGAGGTCTTCGTCATGCTTCACCCTAAGCCCTAAACCCTAAACCGCGGAAAACACGTCAAACAGCGTGTAGCATCGGTGTCAGGTTGGCAAAACGACGGCCTCTGCTTTCCACATCCCAAACACCCCAAGCCAAAAACCCTGAACCAGCAAAACGCCTAAATGGCACCCCTAACCCGAAAACAGTCAAGGTGTACTGGGGCACCTGAGGGGCGAAATCGTTTTGGCAGTGTGCGAGGGGATACCTGTAAACTCAGTGTGCGCACCTCCCCAATTTTCGCACAAGTATACGAGACTGCTTTTAATCTGCGGTGTTATAAGGTCTACACTACACATGTTTCGGGTCGATGGTATTTGGCTTAGTAGGTTACGCAGGTTTGAAGACTGACGTTTTGAAACCGAGCAGAAGGCTGCATAATCACGGCAGCCATACGTTGCAACGCCTGCTCACGGACTTTCACTTGATGGTGCCACTGATCGGCAATTGATCTATCAGCGGCGCGCTTTTGGAAAATGGTGCACGTGACCTGAGGGAAGAGACGCTGTGTATGATTCGTAGGTCTAGTCTGGCAGCCGGAACAAGTAGAAATTTAAGGGAACACGGAACAATTCGGAATTTAAGAGTGTTCCCTTATAATCCCTATTCAACAAGTCCGGCCCCATGTTACATTATATCAAATCAAGACATAGTTCCAACGATTTCAGTACGTACGCGCCCGATCTTGATGTGGGCTGCCTTTTGAGAAGCTACCCTTCATCGGTAGGCCGCTCGTACTGTCTTTTGTTGCCCTCCTTGTGTTTAGCAGCCCCCAAACCCTAAACCCTTATACACCCAACCAAAAACCGGAGCTTTATCCAGTCTAAGTTCTGCTTCGGGTTGAAACCCTCAGATGTTAAAACTCGAAGTACCAGACCTCAGACCCGAGTGAATGAAATCGTCGGGGGATGTTTGGGCTTCTGGACGGTTCCCGAAGGTTTTTTTGGTTGGCGTTGAGCATGTTGGGGTTTGTGGGTTGAGGCTGTGGGGTTTGTTTTTCCTGGCCCATGAATTTCTAGGTGGCAATTTGGGAAGCTTCAAAATTACCCTTATGGTTTCTGTAGAGGTACCTATTCATAAATACTTTTCAGGGCCCCCTAAACCCTAAACCCTAAATCCTAAACCCCAAACCCTAAACCCTAAACCCTAAACCCTAAACCCTAAGCCTTCTGTTGCCGCAGTGTTTGCCTGCAAGCTGCCCCCAGTCACAACCTGCGAGCTGAAGGAGGCGTTTAGAAGCACCCCTCGGTGCCATGATACGTGGCTTGGCAGTCTTTTAGAGTTTAGGGTTTAGGGTTTAGGGTTTAGGGTTTAGGGTTTAGGTCTTGAAGCACGGCCAGAATGGTAGGCTTTTGTCTCTGGCAGTGTTTTCCTGTAGAGGGTTTCTAAGAGCTCTCGCGCATGAATTCTGGCCAGGGTCTTGTCTGACGCGTGACTAGAACCCTGAACCCTGAGCCCTAATGCACATGCAGAATCTCCCTGGAGTGCCGGTTGCTTGAAGGAGAAGTTGCCTTGCACCGTGCTGCTTGAGTTGATGTTGATAAGGCATGTAAGCGAAGTTTCCAGATAAGGGAAAGCTACACATCCCTACTATGGTAACATACTCCGTCTGAAAAAAGCGAAGCACAAACTGAGAAGCCTCTGCGGGAAGGGAGACTTGTGTTGAGTCTGATGAGCGACTGAAGGTCAACGTCCTACATTGCCTTAATTAAGTCTCACTGAGTTTATGGAAGCGGTGGGAGTCATGGTAGCTACGGAGATTGAAGAATTTCGCTCATCAGCAGTGCTTCCACAAGGTGATATCATCCTCCTGTTCTCGTGGCACGGATGCGAGCGGTGATCGAGGGTCTAATTCCATGGTCAGAATGGAAGGGACTAACTTCTCAGACCGAAGATGGACCATTGGCACTGTAAGTCTCAGGCAGCTTGTGGTTTGAAAAAGGCTTCACATTTAAGCGCTCTCGGCATCCGGCACGTAGTTCACTGCGCTAAAGGAGTACAGATAGGTGCTTTAAGGTTTGCTTTCTTATCCCTCGTTGCTCCGCGTCAGTCATTCACTCGGTACTAAGACATATCAAGTATTCAGGCCAGAACAAGGAGTGTTGTGGGGTCTGTTCCAAGAGACTTGCTTGAGAAAGTAGTATTAAGTTTCCTACTAGTTTGACACACAAAAAACCCCTAAACCCTAAACCCCTAAACCCTAAACCCTAAACCCTAAACCCTAAACCCTAAAGGCCGTTGATATGATGGTCACGCTAGGGACTCGCAATTCCTTATCCTCAGACCCAAGCAGGAGACAACATGACCACAACAGGACCAAGGCCCTAAACGCCCAAAACCCTAAACCTCCAAAGCCCAAACCTAAACAGAAGCAAGCCCACACAGAAATCACATCCTCAAACACCTAAACTCAAAGCTACCCAGAAAAACCTAAAGACCAATACCCTGAAGGCCAAAACCAAAACAGTTGTGGCGGGAAGGTTCATGGCTCAGGTGGAGCGCAAGTTTGGCAAAGGCTCAATGATATCCATAGAGTGGGGAGCTTCAGAGAATAAGCGCTGGAATCTATGGCGGCTTAACACTAGCATTTTAGGAATACGATGATTCCTACATTCAACCGGACCCGCTGGTGCCTTACGCCTACTGCATAGAAGCCAGAGCCAAGCTGCAGGAAGAGACGCGCGAACAGTCATAATTCGTGGCCTTGTCGTTTGGTCCAAGTCGCTGGCCTTCCACAATCCCTTCCCTGGACTATTCAAACCCACGCTAATTTTGAATATTGCTTTCGGGGAGCATTTAGCCAAGAATGCGCCCCAAGAAGAGTTTGAAAGGGGCAAGACTACCGTACAATGAGGCGGTTAGGCGCTATTAGGGAGACACGAACTAAGGATCGTCCAGGGTAGATAGTTGGCGGCGTGTCACTGATGACCTAATCTGTACCGAAGCTCTCTCTCTCTCTCTCCCTCTTTCTCTCTGTCTCTCTCTCTCGCTTGGAGTTTAACCCTAAACCCTAAACCCTAAACGTTTGGGTTTAGGGATTATCCCGGCATCAGAAT